GTGTTTTGCAGTTTTCTTGGTAAATGATCCTCTTCACGGTATCCCACATAAATCTAAGTGTTGCTGACGTTGTCGTTAAGTACCATCTGGTGAGTTCTAACTCATAGCAACCTTAGAACAAAACACGCCCAGGCCTGCACCAGCCTCACAGTTGTTGCTGTCACTGTGCAAATCCATCTCATTGACAGATCGTCCTTTTGTCACTGACCCTCCACTTTACCAAGCATGATGTCTTTCTCTAAGGATTGCTCCCTCCTGATAATACACCCAAAGTATGAGAGACGAAGTCTGGCCATCTTGGCTTCTAAGGAGCATTCTGGTTGTACTTCTTCCCATACAAATTCCAATAAAAATTCTTCTCCAACACCATAACTCAAATGCATCAATCTGTCGACCGTCCAACTTTCACAAACACATAGGCTATTGGAAATACCATGGTTTGGGTCAGATACACCTTAGTCCTCAAACAGATATATTTGCTCTTGAACACTTTAAAGAGGTCTGGGCAGAAGAGTTGCCTAATGCCATACGTCATTTGATTTCTTGACTGCTGCTTCCAGGAGTGTTGGTGGCACATCCAAGCAAAATGAAGTTCTTGACAACTTCAATCTGTTCTCCATTTATCTTGATGTTGTTATTGGTCCAGTGGTGAGGATTTTATTTTGTTTACATTGAGGTGCAATCCATATGGAAGGCTGTGATCTTTGATCTTTATCAGTAAGTATTTGAAATCCTCTTCACTCTCAGCAAGCAAGGTTGTATCATCTGCTTATCACAGGTTGTTATTGAGTCTTCCTGCAATTCTGATACCACGTTCTTGTTCCTATAATCCAGCTTCTCAGATTATGGGCTCCGTGTACAGATTGGAGTAAGTATGGTGAAAGACTAGAACCCTACCACACCCCTTTCCTCACTGTACACCATTCATAGCCCCTTGTTCTTTTCAAATGACTGCCTCTTGGGTTATGTACAGGTCTCTCATGAGCACTATTTTCCCTTATTTTCTCTGAATGGTCTTCTGGTTGACTAGTATTAGGAGATTTCTTTTCTGGTTCACTAATTCAGGTATCCATTGATTCAATTCTGTTCCTTTGTCCTTTATTGCCCATTTTTTAATTTTAGAATTAATCTTTTGAATTTCTTTTCACATGTTTTGTATTGTTTCAAATTTTTCATTTATTTTTTCAGTTCTTGTAGTGTCTTCCTGATTTCTTCTAAACTTTTCTATGTTGTTGCTGTCACTGTGCAAGTTTTCCTTGCTTTCCTCAATCTTTCTCTTAATCCACTGAAAGTACCAAATATCACTCTTCTGCATTGTTTCTTAGGTAGTTTTTACCTTTTCTTCCTCAGAAACATTGTCGAACTCTGCATCTTGGACATTTGTTTCAGCTAGTCTCTTGTTTCATGTGACCTGAAGTTGTCTGTTGTTTCTAAGACACTGTGTTTGTATTTAATTGATTGCATGTTAGTGTATTCTTAGTTTTTCACCAACTGCCTCCTCACAGATATAATTAGAGAATAGAAGTGTGTGTCCAGCTTGTGGGTTTGGCTGGTATTGGCTGCTGATCAGTTGGTACATGTGGTGATCTTGGTTCCTGCTGAGTGGGTGGGGTTGCAGAGGGTACAATTGTGTCTGGGCTATGTGGACGTGGGTCCTGTCTCCTTTTGGGCAGGACGAGAAGAGAAAATACACGCAAGAAAATAACACAGAACAAAGAAGTATCTTACCAAACATGATATCCTTCTCCAGTGACGGGTCCCACCTGACAATATGTCCGAAGTATGAGAGACGAAGTTTGGCCATCTTGGCCTCCAAGGTGCATTCTGGCTGCACTTCTTCCAAAACGGATCTATTGGTTCTTTTGGCAGCCCATGGCACTTTTAGTATTCTCCTCCAACACCACAACTCAAAGGCATCAATTCTTCTACGATCTTCCTTATTCACTGTCCAGCTTTCACATCTATATGAGGTTATTGAAAATACCATGGCTTGGGTCAGGCGCACCTTAGTCCTCAAGCTGACATCTTTGCTCTTCAACACTTACAAAAGGTCTCGTAGATAAGAAAAAAGATTAAGACCAGAGAGTAGTAAAGAAAGATCAAGAGAAAAAAAAAGGAGTCAGTGGGAAAAGAGAAACAGAAGAAAAGAAGAAAAATGAAAGCAGGAGCTAAAGAGATCAAAAGAAAGAGGAAGAAGTTGAAGAAAGAAAAACAAGGAAGCAGAGAAAACCCAAAGAAACCAGTACAGGAGCTAGACGACAGAGAAGAAACCTGGGAGTGGCGGGGAGGCCGGGATCAAGGGGCTCACAAGGTGGTTAGAGGAGGGCCTAAATGCTGTTCCACGCCACCCAGGCACTGTTCATCTGGACCACAGGGTGGTCAGGGCTGGGCCACTGGGAGGCCATCAGGCGGCTCTGCGGGCTCTGTTCATCTGGAGCAGAACTCACTCCAATCCCGGTGCCAAGGCACCCCTGTCAGGGTCCACTGTGTCTCAGCTCTGAACTCCTGAGGGTGGAGGTGAGCGGAGGTTGGCCACACCTCCCATCACCAGGGGAGCTTGGGAAACAAGAAAGAAGCACACCTTTCCTATTGTCAGTCCGGGAGAGAAACGTGCTACCAAGCCTGGTCTCTCAAACTGCTGGCAGAAGCTCACAATGGTCCCTCCTCATCCAGCTGGGAGAGCAGTGAGTCTGTCTCCCTCCTCGCCGCCCTCACTCAGCCTCTCCTCCCACTGAGGGTTTGATCCACTTCTCCAACCTTTCCCTCTGTGTGTGTTTGGCTCGTCCCTACCTTCGCTACAGAGCGTCTGAGTACTATATTTGCCTAATCTATCATCTCAGTTCCTCCTCCTTCCTGTCTTCTCAATGACCTTTTGCTGTCTTCCTGTATGATGTTCTTGATGTCATCCCACAACTCTCTCGGTCTTTGGTCTTTAGTGTCTAATGCATCAAATCTGTTCTTAAGATGATCTCTAAATTCAGGTGGGATATGTTCAAGGTCGTATTTTGACTCTTGTAGACTGGTTTTTTCTTCAGCTTCACTCTGAACTTGCATATGAGCAATTAATGAATGGTCTGTCCTACAGTTGGCCCTTGACCTTGTTTAGGATGATGATATTGAGCTTCTTCATCATCTCTTCCCACAGATGTCGTCAGCTTGACTCCTGTGTGTTTGAACTCCATGTTTATGTTGTTGAAATAGGGTATCTGCCGTGAGTGAAGTCAGTCTTGTGAATCCCAGCATCATGTTTACCACCTAGGCCATAGTTTCCAACTACTGAGCTTTCCTCTTTGTTTCCAACTTTCACATTGCAATCACTAATAATTATCAGCGCATCTTGGTTACATGTTTAATCAATTTCAGACAGAAGAAGTTGGTAGAATTCTTCAATTTCATTATCACTAGCTTTAGTGGTTGGTGCATAAATTTGATTAATAGTGGCATTAACTTGTCTTCCTTGTAGGCATATGGATATTATCTTATCACAGACAGCACCGTACTTCAAGATACATCCTGAGATGCTCTTTATGACAATGAATGTGAAGCCATTCCTCTTCAATTCGTCGTTCCCGGCTTAGAAAATCGTATCATTTTCCAGTTCAGAACGGCCAACACCAGTCCATTTCAGCTCACTAATGCCTAGGATATCAATCTTTATGCATTCCATTTCATTTTTTACATTTTCCAATTTTCCTAAATTCATACTTCAGATATTCCCTGTTTCAATTACGAATAGATGTTCACAGCTGTTGCTCTTCAATTTGTGTTGTGCCCCATCGGGAAATGAAGGTTCCAAAGCTTTACTCCGTTCACGTCATCACGGTCAACTCACCTCTTAGGAGGCAACTCTTCCCCAGTTGTATTTTGCAGTGTCTCCCAACTTGAGGGGCTCATCTTTCGGCAATGTACATGACAACCATCTACTGCTATTGAAGAGCTGTCAGTGGATAATCCCTCAGAAGTGGTCCTTCTCTCCTTCTTCCTAGTCCGTCTTAGTCTGGAAGCTCAGCTGATATCGGTAACCCCTGGGTGACCCATCATCACAGTAATAATACATAAGCCACCACAATAGACAAACTGATAGACGAGGGGTGGGCTTTACCCCAACTCAGCTCCATAAAGACACAGAAACATCAAAGTGGAGCGATTGATCTTCCTGAGTTTGTGGTTCACATTCTTCCTAGCTTTGTGGTTCACATTCTGTCGTTTAAAGAACGGACCCAATAAGAGACCAGGTAGGGCATCGTGATGAACTGAATTGTGTCCCCTCAATCTCCCCCAAAAAATGTGTGTTGTAAATACTAGCCTACTCTCGGTTACAATTCCATTTTGGAATGGCTTGTTTTTGTTATGTTAACGAGGCAGGATCCCTGTAAGGTGTGTCATGAGCTAGGAAAAGCAATTCAACAAGCAAAGGAGGGCAGAGAGATACCCAAACACATGGAGCTCTCCAAGGGAGCAGGAAGCAGGAGCTGGTGAGACCAGGATCTCCCTCCAGATCCCACCAAGAAAGCCTCTTCCCCCCAACCCCCAGAGCTGCTGCCCTGAATTCGGACTTCAAGGTCAGCGGTTCAAACCCACCAGCGGCTCCTCGGGAACCCTATACAGGGTCACTATGAGTCGGAACCGACTGGACAGCACTTAACAACCACCACCTGTGAGAGAATCTACGTGTGTCTGTAAAATGCTCCCCATCCCCCATGGTACTTCTAAGATGTTGGTGGGCGCTGAGGAGCCCCCAGCTTTGACGTATAGTTCAGATATTGCTTTATCCTAACTTCAGCAGCTACTGGCCTGCTTTACTTGTCTTAGCATACGTACATGTTAAAAAGGAATTTAAATGATTCCGTACATTAACCTTCTGAATTTCAGCTTCAGACGAAATAACTAGGATATATTTTGGCCTATTTGACAGAAAGTGGAAATTAAACAACTAGTGTAGTTTCTGGCACACTCTGGAGTAGTGAGGTTTGGAGCAGGCTGGCCCGGGGCTGCCGCGGCTAAAGGTACTGGCTCAGCCACTCTAGAAGGTTCCTTCTCGCCTCCTCAATGTACGGCTTGTCCTCAGCAGTGACGTCATCTCGCTTTCGATGCACAAACCCGTGAGTCTGCCCGGAAAATGTTTTAATTTGATATGCAACTTTGCAGTGGTCTTTCAACTTCTGGGTCAGCGAGGACACCTGGTAAGACCAAGAATTCACGTTGATACTAGTTGAACCTTTAGAGAGCTCTTTCTCTATCTCTCTACACGCACTCCTAAAAGAGATTTAACAACATCTTCACTGCAGTCAAATAAGAAGGGATGGCGCTGGGGGTCCGCTCTGGATTCCAACCACAAGGTTGGCAGTTCAAACCCACCAGAAACACTACACAGGCTAGCTAGGAGTCAGAACCAACTCCACAGCACGTCACAACCACCACAATGAAGATTTTTGACATCTAAGCTTCACATTGGAGCCCTGGTGTGGCACTACAGGATAATGTGCTGGACTGCAAGGTCATTTGAGTCAGAAGGTCGGCAGTTCAAACCCATGAGCTGCTCCTTGGAAACCCTATACATGATGGCTCTGAGTTACAACTGACTGGACCGCAGTTAACAACAATGCTTTACATTATAAACAAGTTTTGTTGGTACGCGGAATTCCTAACTTGTAATTCTCTAACTAACTAGTTGTGACCTCGGGCAAACGGCAGCGCTTTTAGCAGTCCCCAACAAAACAGCATCCCTCATGTGAAATTATCTGCATTAATGCAACACAATATTTGGATCACCAGAAACACTAACAACTTCTAAATGACAGCTTTCGCTCCTTCTGCATTTTCCTGATTTAGCTGCCTGACTCAATAGGGTCTGTTTTTAAAGTAACAGCTGACAGACACCACAAGACAGAAAGCGACAGACCAATATCACATATGAATTATGAAGAATGCTGTAGTTGCTTACGGGCCCGGTACCCCTGGGTGGCCCACTGGGGTGGTGGGAAGCCCATTTCTGTACCAGGGCTGCGTGGTCACCTCCCCGAGATGGTAAATTGCCGTGCACCTGTTTGGGGGTTTACAATCCCATTCTAAGTCCTTGCTAAAACACATCTTCACAATTCTAAGGTTGGAAATGTTCAGAGTAACACACGAGTGCTTTAGGACTTTCCCCCAGAACGTCACATTGTGTTATACATGCAAGGAGCAGGAGACCAGCTTACCTGTTCCAGAGGAATCACAGCATCGTTTTCTGCAAAAATAAACAGCGTGGGATTCTTCAGACTGTACACGTCCTCAGAGTCTTTGACGAGGCCTGGGGAATGATGGGGGAAGGAGGGCGTCATTTGCACACACATCACTGAAAATGTATGAATTCGGTTAATTTTTCAAAGTAAAATGTGCGCTTCTGGGGTTTTGTTTCTTTTCTTTTCTTGTAGCGATTCTAAGGTCAGCGGTTCAAACCCACCAGCACACCGTGGAAACCCTGTACAGGATTGCTGTGAGTCAGAACCCACTTGATGGCTGTTGACAACATTAAAGACTTTGCCTTGAAATTCAGCTTGATGGGATCGTCCTACAGGTTTTATCTAACTCGGAGCACTGCATTCAGTAATGGAAGTGGAAAGCCTGGAACATGCTCCTTCTGTGACATGCCTGAAGGAGCGCTGGTGGCACGGGGGGTTAGGCACAGGCTACTAACTGCAAGGTCAGTGGTTCAAACCCACCAGCCACAACCAGGGAGGAAGATGAGGCGCTCAGTTCCTGTAAAGATTTATAGTCTCAGTAACCTTATACAGGATCTCTCTAAGTCACAAGCAAGTCCGTGGTAGTGGCATTGCTTTGGGTTTTTTGGTGATGTGCCTAGATAAAGATGACAACCTCAGGTGAGGACAGGCTGGCCTCCACGGTCCTAAAACTTTCTCACTGTCCACCCCCACGCCCTGACTTCCTGCTCTGTGCTCCCATGAAAGGCGCTATGCCACCCACCCGGGCTCCCTCACGACAATGAAAGGCGACCAGGTCTCTTTGTGCGCCTCTTTCGTTCAGAAGGTCTCCATGCCATGTCTGCCACCTGGCCAGACCTCTGTGGGTGCTTCTGACGGAGTTGTGTGTGTTGTTCACATTTTGGAGGGGGTCTTTCTTTCCTACGTTCCCTCCTGTGTGTGTAACTGCAGGCATGGGTAGTTAGAACAGTTTGCATCTTGGAAAACTACGTTCAGACATATTGTACTTCTTAATCATCACAGAAAGGAATGCTAGTTACATTGTCCCTTCATCCCAGGAGAAGACACTGAGGCCTCGGGCTCGTGACCCTCCAGTCCCCACACACACACACACACACACACACACACACACGGCCTCTCGTGAGGTCCCCTGCCCCACCTCTAGCTTACATTTAACACTTAATGTCCCAGGACAGCTGTCTGCACTCCGGGACCCCGTCCCACGTCCTCCGCACACACGTACCATAGACGGACACCCCGGCCCTGAAGTCCGAACGCGTGGCCATCAGGTGGTGGACGGCCACTCCACCCCAGCAGAAGCCCACAACGCCAACCTTCTGGGCACCACACTGCAGCTTCAGGTACCTGAGGACCACCTCCACCTCTCTGGACACAAGGAAAGCATGAGTCAAGGGTTAGGTTGTGTCTTAGCCACACGTGGGGACCTGTGAGGGACAGGAAGGGAGCCCCTCACAGTTCCGGGTCATTCCTTCCTTGGTGGTCCTCACGTGGTGTCTCCCTTCCTGAGTGGGTCTCCGCATCTGATGTTCTCTTTAGGGCTCGGAGATGGTTAGGGTTAGGACCCACACCACGCTGTCACAGAAACGCTGGCTTCCAGCAGAGCCTCATCCCAGGGTTAGTAGTTAAGACTCCCACACAGATGTGGGGGCACTATGCAGCCCCGTGCTTGAGACCACCCACACAGGACACTGTAGGACAGGCTGGACCCACCAGCCACCACCCAAACTTCACATCCCAGCCAGCAGCTAAGGAATAGCTCCCCCACCTCAAGGGGGAGGTCACAGGTTCAACAACTCGACACCCCCACCTCAGGGGCAGGCCACAGGGTCAACCCCACTCCCCCACCTCAGGGGAGAGGCCATAGGTTCAACCCCATACCCTGACCTCAGGGGCAAGGCCACAGGTTCAACCCCACACCCCCACCTTAGGGGAGAGGTCACAGGTTCAAACCCACACCTCCACCTCTGGGGGGAGGTCACAGGCTCAACAACTCGACAACCCCACCTCAGGGGCAAGGTCACAGGTTCAATCCCACACCCCCTACCTCAGGGGGGAGGTCACAGGCTCAACCCCACACCTCCACCTCATGAGGGAGGCCATAGGTTCAACCCCACACACCTGCATCTGTGCATCACAGCCCCTCCCATAGACCCAAGAAGAGCTGAGTTTAGGAGCGAACCAACCTCCATGCCATCAAGTCAATTTTGACTCATAGAAACTCTGTCCGTTTGTCCCCTGTGGTCACCGATGTCTTGCTGTGATTCTGGGAGCCATGCTCCTGGTATTTTAAACACCAGCAGTGTCACCCATGGTGGACAGGTTTCAGTTTAGTTTCCAGACCAAGACAGACTCAGAAGAACTTCTGAATATTGTCACTGAAAACCTTATGACTAGCACTGGAACACTGTCAGCACCGGATTACTGAGTACTGAAACATGATGAAGACCACCAGAATATGGTCAGATAGAGAGCTGGAAGATGGGACCCTCAGGTTGGAAGACACTCAAAATACAACTGGGGAAGAGCTGCCTCCTCAAAGTAGAGCTGACCGTGATGATGCGAATGGAGTAAAGCCCTCAGGACCGTCATTTGCTGATGGGGCACAACTTGAAATGAAAGGGAACAGCTATAAACATCCATCGATAATCAGAACATGGGATGTGTAAAGAATGAATACAAGGTACCTGGAAGCTTTCAAAAGTAAAATGGAACATATAAAGATTGATCTCCTAGGCATTAGTGAGCTGAAATGGACTCACATTGGTCATTTTGAATCTGACAATCACATGATTTACTATGCCAGGAATGGCAAGTTGAACAGGAGGGGTTCAAGCTCACCACCGCTCCTTGGAAATCCTATACAGGGCCACTATGAGTTGGAACTGAGTCGACAACACTTAACAACAAAAAGGATAGGATTCATCATCAGACAAAACTCTTCAAGGACTAGAGTGGAGAGTGAAGTGTCCATTGGATAAGAAGAGAGGGCATCTGCACAAGAACACCCACACTTGCAGATAATGCCCACTTGGCCTGCCTTCAATGACTGGATGATCAGAGCTCAACTAGAAGAAGAAAGAAGAGGAAAAAAAGAGTCATCTGATACAATTTGATGAACTTGACCTACACCTGTGGATGCAGTAGCTCAAAAGAGAGAACAGATCTTTACAGTGAGGATCATTCCTACCCCCTCCATACACAGAGTAGACAGGGATGGGCAACTTGTACATTGGCTACCCAAAGTGAAGGGGCTAAAAAGGCAAATAGTGACTGGCTTACAAGCTTTCAAGAAGGAGCCTAGATCCAAAGGGCGTGGAGGAAGGTAGAATCTTCACTGAGTAGTATCCAATCTGTCTAGGTGGGGCTGACGAAATGAAATGCGGATGGGTCTCTTGTGATACAATAGTGAATAATTGTTATCAGGACTGATTGTGAGGGTTGGAAATGTAAAGGTAGATGTTTTGTAGCAAGTAGGGGAGTGATTAACTTTTCATTCTAGGAGCGGAGGTCTCTGGAATTATCAAGGGAGAAGAGCGGAAAGCGAGACCTTACCCAGGGAGGCAGTGACGATGATGTAGAGAGATGGAGCAGCTGGGGACTTTAGACCTGGGGGGGGGGAGGGGGGGCAGGCTTGTAGTGTATACCCTTTGGTTGGTTGATGATGCATGGATGGTATTGTAACCATGGCAATGAAACAATATACAATAGGATGAATGTAAAACTAATGTTCTCCCATGTAAACTATCACATAATTCACAATAAAACATTTAAAAAAAGAAGAAATCTTTAAGATCTATCCTGAAGTACAACACTGTCTGTGATAGGATAATATCCATACACCAACAAGGAAAACCAACTGATTCCTCTATTATTCAAATTTATGTACCAACCACTAAAGTCAGCAATGAGGAAATTGAGGAACTGTGGTGTGGCACTGTAGGATAAGCATTGGACCACAAGGGTTGGAAGTTCAAACTCACCAACTGCTCTTCAGAAACCCTTTAAGGGTCATTATGAGTCACAACCAACTCGGAGCCACCTGACAACCACAACCAACTTCTTCAGCCTGAAAATCAATCAAACATGCAATCAAGATTATCGATCATTACTGGTGACTGGATTTTGAAGGTTGGAAACAAAGAGGAAGGATCAGTAGTTGGAAAATAGGGTCTTGGTGATAGAAATGATGCTGGAGAACGAATGACAGAATTTTGCAAGACCAATGACTTCTTCATTGCAAATACATTTATTAAACAACATAAAAGGCAATTATAAACATGGACCTCGGCAGATGGAATACACAGAAATCAAACTGACTACATCTGTGGAAAGACACGTGTCTTATCCTCAGTCAAAAAAAGGCCAGAGACAGATTGTAGAACAAACCATCAATTGTTCATATGCAAGTTCAGGCTGAGGCTGAAGAAAATTAGAACAAGTCCACAAGGGCGAAAATATGACCTTAACCAGATCCAACCTGGATTTAGAGATCATCTCAAGAACAGATTTAATGCATTAGACACTAAAGACCAAAGACCAGAAGAGTTGTGGGATGACATCAAGAACATCATACAGGAAGAAAGCAAAAGGTCATTAAAAAGACAAGAAAAACCAAAAAGGGTTATCAGAAGAGACTCTGAATCTTGCTCTCCAGCAGAGAGATTCTAAAGTGAATGAACAAAGAGAAAGTTAGAGCTGAGCAGAAAATTTCAAAGGGCAGATAGAGATGACAAAGTCAGGTTTGATAATGAAATGTGCAAAGACCTGGAGGTAGAAAACCAAAGGGAAAGAAAACACGCTCAGCATTTCTCAAGCTGAGGGAACTGAAGATAAAATTCAAGCCTCAACTTGAATTATTGAAGGATTCTATGGGCAAAATATTGTACGATGCAGAAGGCATAAAAAGAAGATAGAAGGAATACACAGAGTCACTGCACCAAAAAGAAATGGTCGATATTCAACCATTGCAAGAGGTAGCATTGATCAAGAGCCAATGATCCTCAAGCTGTACTGAAGGCACTGGCAAAGAATAAGGCTCCTGGAACAGACTGAACACAAATTGAAATGTGTCACAGACTGAGGCAGCACCGGAGGCACTCGTTTATACCAAGAAATGTGGAAAACAGCTACCTGGCAACTGATTGGAAGAGATCCATATTTGTGCCCATTCCAAAGACAGGTGACCCAATGGAATGCAGAAAGCATCGAACAATGTCATTCATATAATATACAGGTCAAAGTTTTCTGAAGATCATTCAAAAATATATCTTGGCAGAAAGCAAAGAATACCAGAAAGATGTTAACCTGTGCTTTTTTGACTATTTGGATCATCGTAAACTATGGATAACATTGCCAAGAATGGGTATTCCAGAACGCTTTACTGTGGTCATGAGCAATCTGTACATAGACCAAGAGGCAGTGGTTCAAATAGAACAAGGAGACACTGAATGGTTTAAAATCAGGAAAGGTTTATGCCAGGATTATATTGTTTCAACACACTTATTCGATCTGTATGCTTAGCAAATAATCCAAAAAGCTAGGTTTGGGGACCTAGTCTCCAGGGGACAGGAGACAGTCTGGGCTGGGGACCTGGTCTCCAGGGGACAGGGGTCAGTCTGGGCTGGGGACCTTGTCCTTTCGCTGCTCAGCTGGGCACTCAGAGCTAGGTTTGGTCTAGCTCCGTTCTCTCCCTTCTTTTGCTCTGGTGGAAAGACAGGGCTGACACAGGCTGAACCATGTTCCCCAAAGACATGCTGAGGTTCCCACCCCTGAACCTGTGAACACAGCCTTGTTTACAAGTAGGTCTTTCTTTGTAGACGCTATCTACAATGTCACACTGTGGAGGGTGGGTCCTAGTCCCAATCCCTTCTGAATGGGGTTTTATAAAAGAGGGAGCCGACATGGGGAAGACAGACACCACGTGGTGGTGCACGAAGGCCGAAGTGTGTGGGGGTGGGGTGGGGTGGGGAGAAGCCCTGAGTCCGGCTCCCAGCTCCAGAACCTGGACCCTTTGTGATCCACTCAGTTGTGCCACTGGGCAGCCGAGACTGGAGCCCCAACAGGCAAATCCAGAGCTGCTGTGACCGCACACGGTCATGGGCACTAGAGGGCGCTCCTGGCTATGCGTCCACACAGAACGAAATGAAAATGTGGTTCCCGGGGCTCTAGGAGGACCCCAATAGCTGTGGCCATGGGACGTCCTACTCAGGTTGGGCAAGGTCGCTGAGTAGAAACACAGGACACCCCCCTCCCCCCACCCCGCTCCTAACCTCTGCCTTCCCTGAGCCCAACCACACCCACAAGCACGTACTTATCCACCTTCCTTGCGTTTCTTGTCTTCAGCCACTCTGGGAAGGTGACCCAGTCACTGGAGGGATGCCATGGTTCCTGCCCAACAAAGAAGTCTGGGACGACAGTGCTGTGAACACACACAGATGGACAAGGACCCTCAGCAAGTCACGGGCCCATCCTGCACGTGGGGGGCCCCTGTGACATGCTGAGCAAGGTGACCAGAGGACAACCAGGGCCTGAACAGGTGGAAACTGCATTCAGTTCTGAGTGTTCGCTGAGTTACAGCTCCCGGGAGCTGGGGGCTTCCTGTCATCAGTTCCTGTCTGCAGGAAAGGGAGGCAGGTATACCTTTGACGTCTAGCGTCAAACTTTAAAACCCTGATGTAGATGGGGAAAGGTTTTATTCTGAAGAAAGATGGCTTGGGTGAGAGGATACTCCACCCTGAACTCGGCGGTTCTCCAGAGGCAAGGCAGTGAGGTGCACGTGGCTGGAAAGAACCAGATGAGAGTGGATGAAGGGGGTCATCAAATACAGATTAGAGGAGCTTTGCAGTGGGGTCTGTTGTCCAACTGGCGCACGCTGACGGAGCAAAGTTCAGGGACCTGGGCAGGGAGACAGCTGACTATGGGTTTGTCCGTTAACCATTTCTGAGGGGCTTAGAGAGTCGGTGTGTGGCCTTGTCCTGGGTACACAGGGGCCCCTGGGTCTTGTTGGTCCTATGGGAAGGGGATTTATGTGCAGGGACACAGAAGGTGGGGGGACCTCATGACCACTGTTTTCCATGGTTACAGGGATCAGAGAAAATCAAGCACGGTCACCATACGGCATGTCGGTGGGTCTCTGTTCTTCTGTGACATCGGATGGATTTCAATCCATGGGGACCACACCAGACCGAGAAGGGCTGCTCCTCATGGTTTCCAAGACTTAAACCCTCACTAGGAGCAGCTGCTGGCTTTGGATTGTGACCTCTTGGTTGGAAGTCCAGTGCTTGTCCTGCAGCATGACCAGGGCTCCTTTCTGAACACAGGAGTGGGGAGGAGGGATCCACCACAGGCGCCAAGGATGGACAGCCCTGTGGGCATTGCATCCACCTTCTATATACGGACCAGGAACAGTCCCGACTGCCCACACTCCAGCTCCCCCAGGGGAACCCGATCCCCAAACGGCTGGACCCAGCCGAGCTGCAGCAGCCACGTAGCCCCCCAAGCCGAGGCTGGACCTGGCTGAACTCAGGCCAATGGAACAGGTCCCACAGAGGCAGTGAGAACCCAGGAGAGGTGACCTGGGTCTGGGCCCCACACTGGACATAAATCCCCAAGTCTACCCTACACTCTCTGTGACCCTCACATATACAGGGTGAACAGGAGCAGTGGGGGTCCAGGGTGAAGGTGGGTGCCTGACTCACATGGGGTCCCCATTGTCTGCAGCAGAGCAAGGTAAGGAAGCAGACAGCAGACAAGGCAATAGGACTGGGGGAGGGGCTGGGGTGTCATGGATTGAATTGTTGTTAGGTGCCATTGAGTCAGTACTGACTCATAGTGACCCTATACACAGCAAAACGAAACACTGCCTGGTCCTGGGCCAACCTCACTATTGTTGCCACGCTTGAGCCCATTGATGCTGCCACTGTGCCGATCCATCTCATTGGGGGTCTTCCTCTTTCTGTCCAACTTTCCACGTTACCAAACATGATATCCTTCTCCAGAGACTGGTCCCTCCTGATAATATAGCTGAAGTGTGAGAGACGAAGTCTGGCCATGCTGGCTTCCAAGGAGCACTCTGGCTATACTTCTTCCAACATAGACCTGTTTTGTTATTCTGGCAGCCATGGCACTTTCAATATTCTCCTCCAACACCATAACTCAAAGGCATCAATTCTTCTACGGTCTTCCTTATTCACTGTCCAACTGTCACATGCATATGAGGTTATTGAAAATACCGTGACTTGGGTCAGGCACCTTAGTCCTCAAACTCTTATCTCTGCTCTTGAACACTTTAAAGAGGTCTTGTGCAGCAGATTTGCCTATTGCAATACATCATCTGATTTCTTGGCTGCTGCTTCCATGAGTGTTGATGGTTGATCAGAGCAAAATGAAGCCTTTGACAACTTGTTATTTATTGGTACAGTGGTGAGGATTGAATTATGTGCCCCCGAAGTATATGTTGTAAATCCTAACCTCTGTGCCTGTGGTTGGGACTGGTGGTGGTTATGTGCCGTGGAGTTGGTTCTGGCTCATAGTGTCCCCGTATAGGGTTTCTGAGGCTGTATATCTTTACAGGAAAAGAAAGCCTCATCTTTCTCCTGTGGAACACCTGGTAGTTTCGAACTTCCAACCTTGAGGTTAGCAGCCCAATTCGTAACCACTACACTACCAGAGCTCCTCATGGTTGGGATTGGTGTATGATTTTGTTACTGCGGCAGGATTAGTATAAAGTGCACCTTGAGTATCTCCTTAAGATAAAATAGAGATTAAACAGGAGTCCCGGGATGGCATTATAGAATCAGCACTGGACTGCCAACCATAAGGTCGGCAGTTCAAACCCACCAGCTGCTCCTCGGGAACCCTATACAGAGTCAGAACTGACTCGACAGCATTGAACAACAACAAGAGATTTAACCAGTGAGCAGAAAGAGATGGTAGGAGAGATGCCAAGACACATGGAGCCCCCAAGAACCTGAGAAGCAGAGTTGCAGAGACAAGGACCTTCCCCAGAGCCCACAGAGAGAGAAAAGCCTTCTCCTGAGCCAGAGCTCTGGACTCGGATTTCCAGCTTCCTGAAGTCCTGGGGTGGCGCTGTAGCTCAGCACTGGACTGCTAACTGAAAGGTCAGGGGTTCAAACCCACCAACCACAGGTTCATCTCTCATCCTTCACGCATGCTGTCAGGAGATACACTAATCCCTGGAGAAGACCATCATGCTTGGTACAACGGAGGGTCAGCGGAAAAGAAGAAGACCCCCAGCACGATGGACTGGCCTGTGGCAGCAGCAATGAGCTCAAGTGTAATAACCATTGTGAGGGTGTCACAGGGGTCAGCAGTGTTTCCTTCTGCAAATGGTCACTATGAGTCAGAACGGACTAGACAGCACCTAAGAACAATGTGAGTCAGAACAGACCCCGAGGCACTTAGCAACAACCACAAAACTGTGAGAGACGACAGGTGTGTTTGCTGAAGGCCCCTTGTGGTAGTTCCGTTATAGAAGAACTACAGGACAGAGACCCAGGGGACAGGCCCCAGACATTGCAAGGACTGAAGCTTGGGGCCAATACGTACGTGTATCCGTTCGCAGCCATCATGTCAGCCATGTACCTGGTATTTGGCAGCTGCCAGCCAAAGATGTCTTGGATGACGATCACAGCTCTGCCTGTGTTGACTGGGGGCTTGCTGACGTACACCCCGATGTGCTCCACCTGGACCTCTTGCCCCAAGCCCCCATACTCCAGCCTGTGGCCAATGTCACAGGGACGGGGCTGAGCTTCGTTCGCCATGGTCGGGACCTAAATTGGGCAACAGAGAGGGAGATGGCACACGTTACAGTCCAAACGGGCAGCTCGGACAATGGACTGCAAGGGCAGAGCAATCTGGGTGGTGGAGGTGGAGGTGGTGGTAGAAGTGTGGTACCAGGGAGTCGGTTCTGACTCAGAGACACTCTACACAGGATTTCTGAGGCTGTAAATCTTTACAGGAGCAGAAAGCCTCATCTTTCTCCCACAGAACAGACTCCTGGACTCCTGGTGTAGCCAAACCACAAGGTTGGCAGTTCAAACCCACCAGATGCTCCTCGGAAACTCTGTACAGTGTTGCTGTGACTTGGAATTGACTCGATGGCACTTAACACCAACAAATCTATATGGACTCTGTTAGGATCAGCACTGGACAGACATGACAGACCCTGACACAAACCCCTACATTTGACGCTGAGGATTTGGGCCCCAGTGAGCCCTGGGTCTGTGTGAGTTGGGAATTGTAATAGGGTAACACACTCTCCCATAACACGAGGCCTTAAAGATTCATACTTAGTGTGAGGAGATCCCGAGACCCTCCCCCATCAGCACCAGGATGTAGCAAGAAAGCCGATTCCGCTGAAAGCACTGGGCTCTTGTTGGTTGTCGTGGCCCTGACTCCTGATGTCCTCAGCCCCTGCCATTCCCATGATGTGACCCATGGGGTTTTAGCTGGCTGATCCCCCGGCCTTTCTTCACAGTCCTGAAGTCTGGAAACTCCACTGAATCCTGTTCAGCATCTTAGCCGCACACAAGCCTCCACAGGCAGATGGTGCTATCCGGGAATTGAACCCCGGTCTCCCACTTAGTGAGTGGGAATCTACCGCTGGACCGCCAATGTCCCCATGCTCTGGGGAGAAAGGAGGAAGGAAATCAGTCCCCAGTCCCCACTCTCCCATGATGCAGGAATACAGACATGGGCAAGGAATAGAACAGCCGACCCTGGACTGGTGGCTCTTGAGCACAGACCCCCCCATCCAGGCCAGGAGCCCTGCCCTGGAGATGAACCTGAGGAGGAAATGGCCCAGCCCAAGGAGACCCAGAAGGGGGCCGGTCAGCAGGGAAACAAGCAGGAACCATCCACAGCGAGAGGATGGGCCAAGGAGCAACCCCAAAACAACCCACTGCCCTGGACTCTAGTGCGACTCATAATGACCCAAACAGCACAGACTAGAATTGACCCATGGGGTTCCTGAGGCCGCCAGTCTATACAGAAACAGCCTCACGATTAGCTATCCAACGTTTAACCCATGCCAGACCATCGGGTGGATTCCAGCTCATAGAAACCCTAGAGAGGGTTTCCAAGACTGTAAATCTTCATGGGAGCAGACAATCTCATCATTCTCCCATGAAGGACTGGTGGGTTCGAACCACTGACCTTGCAGTTATCAATTCAGTGCTTAATCCACCGTACCACCAAGGCTCTTAGAATAGGAACACGAAACAAGCGTCATCCCTTCATACATACAGAAAGAAGAAACCTGCTAACCACAAAGCATCGAATACTGTGGCTGAAATTGATCTAAACAAACTTACACAGATAAATCCACTGGGGATAAAGGTTCACAAATGGGACTTAGTATGAATCTGCATACCATGGTGCCAAGGTGGACGACGGAGGCCCAGCTTCACTGACTAGCAGAGAAGGCACGTTCGTGTCGGCAGATGATAGCAAGTACACAAACCGTCCACAAATTAGCTCGTTATGCATGTTTCCACCAAGATCATGCTATAGGACTACAGTGGAGAAATGACCCTAAAATCTCCAAAGCTTTTCAACTGAATCACAGTGAAAACACCAGATAGCAAAGGCTGATCAAATACAGTGGGACTCAAAGACTTACGGCCTCACAAACCCTATTCATGGTTGCTGTGAGTCAGACCAACTCAACGTCACGTCACACCATAGCTTTATTAATTGTGGATTTTATATTTCCTATGAGAACTAAGCAGAATCAATCCTTTTCAAAGAGTTCTGACAGTGTAGATGAAATTATAAACAATGTACAGAGGATATCTTCGAATGCAGTGATTATGCTATGTATAAAATATCCAAATCTATGTGCAGATAGAATCTCCTTCCATGTATGGATTGTCAAGGTCTTGACTGTGCAAATTTTTAGGTCAATTAGTATACATATTTACTGAGTCACAAATGCTGTGTTAAATGATTCAAAGATGTGGTTATTGAATCTTTTAAACACCTAATATTTTAATACTCAATAAAATAGTGTGAAAATAAAAATTCTATTTAAAAAAAAAATACAGTGGGAATGAGGGGAAGCTGCTCACCAAGAGATTGGGAGTTCAAGTCCACCCAGGTGTGCCTTGACCTACTTCTGGGAAAATCAGTCATGCGAAGCCCTAGAGAGCACAGTTGTGCTCTGACACGCACAGGGATGCCCTGAGTGGGCACAACACCTGGTTTAATATCCACAATCTTCAGGTAAAGCAGGTCACCCTCCACAAGGTGGTGGGTCTCATCCAATCAGCTGAAAGCCTGCCATCAGGTGGATTCCAACTCACAGCGAACCCTGTCTAGGGTTTTCAAGGCTGTAAATCTTTATGGGTGCAGAGCAACCAACCTTGGGATTAGCAGTCCACTGCTTACCTTGCATCACCAGTTGAAGGCCCTGTAGCTATTGTTAGTGCCATCGAGTCGGTTCTGACTCTTAGTGGCCCTGTGTCCAACAGAAAGGAACACCGCCTGGTCCTGTAATAACCTCACAATTGTTAGGTTAGAACCATCATTGCTACCCCTCTGCCAATCCATCTTGTTGGGGGTCTTCCTCCTTTTTGCTGACCCTCCACTTCACCAAGCATGACATCTTTCTCTAGGGACTGGTCCCTCCTGAGAACATGTCACCATCCTGGCATCTAAGGAACACTGGCAGCCTTTAGTAACAAAAATTAAGGCTTCCTGAGGGAGACTTGTTGAGTCCATTCCAACTCATAGCGAAGAGTGGGAATATAGGCTTTCCAGGAGCAGTTGGTGAGCTTGAACCACCAACCTTGTAGTTCAAACAGACCTTAAAGTCCAACGCATTAACCCGTAGCGCCACAAGGGAGAAGCAGTCCACAAATACTCATGGGGTGGCCACTGCAGAGACAAGCCTACAGGAGTCTCCAACCTGTCATCCGACCTGCAAATGTTGGACTTGCCAGTGACCATAATTGCATAAGCCAATTCCTTAAAATAACCCCCTCCCCATCCTCCGCTTTCTATATATATCTTATTAGCTCTGTTTCTCTGGAGAAGTTGGAGACACCAGGAACCCCCTCCACCTTGTGAGTGCATGAGAGAAACACACCTGTGCCAAGGTGGGTGTCCAAGAAGGTTCCAGTTAGTACTGACTGTGATATCAAGGCTGGGTGCGCTCCAAGGAACTATCAGGCGGAGAGCAGGTCTCTTAAAAAGAACATTGCACTGCAGTTGGATGGACAAACTATAGCTCTATTTATTAAGTTGCTAAATCTTGAAAACACAGTGCTATGTAAAGAATCAACTTCTTTTTTGATACTATGTAAAAAATAAATAAACAATGCATATTAGTCAAAGTGTAATACAGAGGAAAACCCAACTAGTCAGCCATCACCAGACAGGAGGGGGAAGAGGACAGAGACTCAGGGCTCTGATGCAAACTGGTTACATTTTATTTCCTTTGAGTCTTTTATGAGAAGCACATAAGATACAATGTTAATACCTTTTTAAATCTATGTGATATGGGTGACTGTGGTCTTAATTTCCTGAACATTCTACAGATTTTACAGGTGGAGGTAAAAAGTCACTACATTTCAAGGAGAGAGAAATAAACGGCTGGTTACTTAATGGGTGATAATTTGACTTTGTTTTTGAGGACAAGCGGACGCCAACTCAGGAAGGCCCCGTGACTGTCAGAGTAGAATTGTGCTCTGGAGGATTTGCAAGGGCGGAATTTTGGAAGCAGAATGCCAGGCTCTTCTTCCTAGGTGTCTTGACTCTTTCACCCCTTGTACCACCCAGGGACTCTCATGAACTCCATCAGAGAGTGGGCCCTCAAAACGAACACTCAGCAGCCCACTGACGAGGACCTAGGGACCATGGCCACCAATCTGATAGAGTCCACTCACAGCCTCTTTCCAAAGGGCAGGCGAACAGACCAGGTGCCCTCTGCACCCCAGGCAGAGGTGTGCCTTGGGGAAGGCTGGACTCCTGCCCAGATCCCTGTCCTGGGCTAAGTCCACTGCAGGCAGGTTGGCGGGGACAGCATCTCTCCTGACCATGCCCTCTGTTGACAATGGTGAGGACGTTTTACATGCAGAATTCTGGAGTTGTTTTTTTCAAAATACCCATATTTGTTCAAAGACAGTTTCAGAAAAAGAAAAAACCCACCGCTCTCAGGTAAACAGAAACAAGGACACATGGGAAGGTCTGCGTTCCATTCATGGGATCCAGAGATGTCACCCCCAGTTCTGTGGAGAAGCTGAGTGTGCACAAACTTCTATTGAGTAAAGAAATGATGGGGCACAGTGGGTCAGTGTTCAACTCCTTCTTTCCTGAGTTTGGTTCCCAGATGGCAGGCCTTGTGGGCAGACACCACCCGTCTGTCTGTGGAGGCCTGTGTGTGGCTGTGATCTCAACAGCTTTCAGCAGAACTTCCAGACAAACATGGACTAGGGAGAAGGAGCTGGACATCTGCTTCCAAAAATCATCCAAAGAAAACCCACAGCTCGCTCAGGTCTGGCACATACTCAGTCACAGAGACGGCGCAGGGCGGAACAGTGTTTGCTTCCGTTGTACCTGGGCTCACTGTGAGTTGGGGGCTGACTCGGCAGAAGCTGGCAACAACAACAACAACAACAACAACAACAACAAAGGGATGTTGAGAGGAATTGCATACAGACAAAAGGGCTTTTCCGTGGAGGGTCAGCCAAACCTCCAGCAGACAGGATAGAATTTACAGTCCTCTCAGTTACGGACAGATCAGGAAGAACTGCAGATCTTC